GTGGCTCATCATGCCGCAGGGCTTGTCTAACGCCCCAGCGACGTTCAATCGCCTGGTGACGCAACTGTTCCGCCCTTTGCGTACCTTCGTACTGACGTACTTCGACGACATATTCGTCCATAGCCGTGCCGAGGGAGGCAAGACGGCCAAGGAGGTGCATCTAGGACACCTCCGTCGAGTGTTGGACGTAATGCGAGCGAACAAGCTCTACGCCAACATCGACAAGTGCGTTTCGAGTCACCAGAGACAAAAGTTCTCGGCTGCTTCGTAAGCAACGTGGGCGTTCGGGCTGACCCAGACAAGGTCAAGGCCATAGCAGCATGGCCGACGCCCCGATCCCAGAAGGATCTTCGAAAGTGGTTGGGCTTGGCCAGCTACCTTCACAAGTACAGCTCAGGGTACGCGGGCTTCGCTAAGCCCTTGTCGAGTCTCCTTCAGAAGGACGTCGACTGGCGCTGGGAGCAAGAGCACCAGGATGCTTTTGACAGCATCAAGGCCAGTCTCCAAGAGGCCCCTGTCCTGGCCCTGCCGGACGAGACGAAGCCGTTTAGCGTCGTCTGCGATGCCTCCGATTACGCCATCGGATGTGCATTGCTGCAGGCCGACACGGCTGGACACGAACGAGTCATCTAGTTCCAGTCCAGGCAGCTCAAAGCCACCGAGCGGAACTACCCTGTCCATGAAATATGCCCTTGTGAAGTTCCGTGTTCACCTTCTGGGCTCTAGACCCTTTGTGATCTACACAGACCATGCGTCCTTGAGGACGGCGACTAACTTGCGTCACCTCTCCCAAAGGATGGCGAGGTGGCTGTCCTTCTTCGCGGAATACAACTTCCGCGTCGAATACAAGCCGGGCAAGCTCAACGTGCTTGCGGACGCCCTCTCTCGGCGTCCCGACTATGAGTTGGCCCACATCACGCGGGTGACAACGGATCTATATGATCGGATTCGCATGGCGTATCGGGACGATGAGGCTGTCGCGCCTATCGTCAAGTTCCTTAAGACCGGAACGAGCGCGAAGTCCGACTGGCTCTCGTCGCGACAGCGCTCACGGCTCCACCGATATGAGTTGAAGGAGGGCCTCCTCTATTATCGGGTGGAGCCCACTGATCCTCCACGGGTGGTCGTACCCAACGACGAGGAGCTTAAGTTCGACATCCTCGCGGAGGCGCATGACGCGCCCTCAAGCGGCCACTTGGGCCGCGAGAAGACCTTTCTGTCGGTCTCTCAGTCCTTCTGGTGGACCCACATGTACAAGTGGGTCGCCGGTACGTCAAGACATGTGAAACATGTCAGCGGGTCAAACCCGCAGGGCACTCTTTGGCTCCACTACAGAGCCTGCCCGTACCGGCTGATTGTTTAAAGTCGATGAGTCTTGACTTCATCTTTGGGCTTCCCGCCGACGGACACGGCAACACCGGAATTTTGGTGTTCGTGTGTCGGCTGAGCAAGATGGTACATCTTGCTCCAGTTCCCGTCACTGTTACGGGCGAACAAACCGCAAGGTTGTTCGTCGATGGCGTGTTCCGCTATCATGGTCTCCCAGAGACGATTGTCTCGAACCGAGACCCGCGGTTCACTGCTGCGTTTTGGAAAACGCTGTTCCCTTTACTGGGAACTCGTCTGCAGATGTCCACTGCGGATCATCCGCAGACAGACGGCCAGATAGAGCGCGTCAATCGAGTGCTCGAGGACACTCTGCGCAGTGTGTGCGCGGCAGAACCACGTACGTGGTCGACGCAGCTTCCAGTTGTGGAGTTTGCGCTCAACAACGCGGTGCACGCGTCCACGGGGTTCACGCCGTTCTACTTGAACGGCTTCCGCCACCCCAGAGTGCCTCTCACTCTTCGATGAGACACTGACTCCTCTATTCTAAGTGGGGGAGAGGCTTGGAAAGCCCTTTCCTCCCAGGTCTCGGATGTGAGACCAGTTTCGCTGCGGAAACAGGTGGAATCCTTTATGGGTACCAAGCTGAACATTGTCAGCAGGGTCCGCGATGCCATGGCAGCGGCCCAAGATAAACAAAAGGAGTACTCAGACAAACAAGGAAGAGGAAACGTAAGTATATTTGAGGTTGGGGACTTAGTGTTGCTAGACACGAGGAACCTACCTCTTGACACTGTCAGCTCTGTCGGCAGCAACAAACTGAAGCACCGCTTCTTCGGACCTTTTGCTGTCCTGGCCAGACATGGTGCGTCGTACACCATCGACCTTCTAAAGTCAATGACGACACACCCGACGTTCTATGTCGGACGTCTTAAGCGGTACTTTGACCCGCAGGGGGTTGCAGACTCGCAGACCCCCTTGACCCAGCTCCTCGAAGCGAGGGCCGATCACAGTTGTCGACGAGGGCGACGGAGCAGGCACCCAAGCCTCGGTCGGGACGGCAAGGCTGCGGTCAAGACCGTACGCCGGAGGGGCTCCATACGAACGGACCCCGGCGCCATACGCCGAGTACGCTGAGTACGATGGATACGCACCATACGGGTACGTCTGGGAGTGTGCTGCAGGCGGCCCCGGACGTGGCAACAAAGCCTCGATCCGTCGGATCATGCGAAAGGCCTCGTCCAGATCGGACGAAGAGGCCCGGCGATCCACCCGCAGGTGCAGGCTCGCGACCTCACGCTCCAACAGGTTTAGTTGGCCCGCAAGACGAGCGAGCTCGCCCTGATTCCCGGCCTGGGCGGCAGCATCACCGCCAGTCCCAAGGCCAAGTGCAATCTCAAGCACGAGAACACGTTGACGGAGGAGGTCTACCTCAGGGCCCTGTGTCGGACCCGCAGGAGAAGCACTCGGACGAGAGTGGCGTTCGGGAGGCGCCGAGTACTTTTACTCGTACGAGGGCACATCTGCTCCTGCTTGACCGGAATGGAGAAGTCCACTTCCACGTGCAGCGGATCCTCCAGGAGCAACGGCGTCGCGGTAAGCGACAGCTCCTCGTGAAGTGGAGGGGTTATGCCCACTCCGAGAACTCGTGAGAGCCGATTGAACGGCTCCTGATTGACTGCCCGAAGGCTGTCGCAATCTGGGAACAGAACCGGCGGCAGCTTCATAAGTAGTCCGGGGCTTCTTGCCCGAACGGGGTACGGACGATGAATGCATTCCGTACCCGCGCTCATCGTGAGCGCTAGAAGCCGCGCGCTTCAGGATGTCCCTTGGCAGCATACGCTTGCTGATCAAGTGGGCAAACCTCACACGAAGATCACGCTGGTCCAAAATGTGGGACAGCTGCTGATCTTCATGGAGCTTCCGTAACTCCGTGGGTGAGTACTTAAGAGTCTCCACCCACGCCCAGAACATGTCCTCACAAGAACTCCACGTGGGACAGTTCTCGGGCATAACCCAGGGGTATCCCCAAAGAGGATAGAGACCACCCCGGGTCTCGGGCTTCTTACGACAAGTCGTGAAGTCCTTAAGGGAATGCGGTGTGGCGCGAGAAGCACACACCGAGCAGCCTCCAAGTTGTCGACGAACAACTGTTCTTTCTGAACAAGGGCTCGTTCATAGATGCCCCTAGAAGTGTGGCTGCCCACAAGGCCACGAGGAGCGACGAGGACCTCTAAGAAGAGGTCAGCCCCAGAGCTCTCCTCGGGAGGCCAATACCCTCTTGAGTTGATGGTAGCTCCCTGGCTGACGGGTGCCGCCACCGAACCCCCACATACACGCTGGGCAGCTTGGAATTCCTCCTGCTGCTGGTCGAGGTCATTCGAGACCCCCCGGGGCTCAACGATAGCACCCTCCTCTTCCTCTTCTTCCTCCTTCTCCTTCTCTTCATCCGAGGAGTCGAAGATACTCCGATAGGAGCGACGAGTCTCCTTCTCCTCGCGGAGTGGAGACTTAGAGGCTGTACGCTTCTTTGAGGGCTTGGCGCCTTCGGCTTTTGAGGCCTTAGCACGCGCAAGACCCTCGGCAAGCGAGAGACGTTTGCGAGGATTCTCTTCCTCATCGCTACCGGCTTTGGGAGCGCCCTTAGCCTTGACGTCCGGACTCTCAGAGCGCACAGAGGTCGAGGGACTGTGGTCACCTTGATCACTAGCGATCGATTGCACGCTGTCATCTTTGTGCTCACTGGGCACTGGGCTGTGCCCTCCCACAGAGCCCGCAGGAGTATCGTGCGTGCTCTCGGACTCGGCTTCGTCCTCACTGCCAGAGTTGAACTCACGTTCTACGAACCGAGGGTGCGGACGATTGTCTGAAGATGAGGGCGACGGGCTGCGGCGCTTGCTTGCGCGCTTGTCCACAGCCGCGTCACCCGAGCAACCGATCGCCTCGGAGGCCACCTGAGTAGCCTCCTTGAGTGCAGAGCCTTTGCCGTGAGGCTTAGTGCTCTTGGCTTGCGCCTTACCGGCAGCAGCCTTGGAGCGTGTCTTAGCACCGCTCTTTGCAGTGCCACGAGGCATGATAACGGTCGAAGTGGAGACCTA